TTGCTAGTATTATGAATCATAATGTAAATATCTGATATGCAGGATCTATTTTCATTCACTGGACCAAATTGGGCACAAAATCGGATACTCCCAAATTTGAATATAGGTGGGGTTGGAGAGGATTGATTTTGTCATTTGGGAGTTGGCACTCAATATTTATACATTTATAGCTAACCTACAATCAAAGAACATTCTGAACTCCACCAGTGATGGAACTGAACCATATTTGGCACACAGAACTCCCATGGCCAACAGAAAATATGGGAAGGGTTTGGTGGGCATTGATTTTGAGTTTCGGAGTTGTAGTTCACCTACATCCAGAGAGCACTGTGGACTCAAACAATGATGGAACTGGACAAAACTTGGCACAAATACCTAATATATCCAAATGTGAACACTGGTGGAGTTTGGGGAAATCAGACTTGACGTTTGAGAGCTGTAGTTGCTGGGATGTATAGTGCATTCTGAACTCTCCCCAATTGAGCAAACTTCCTACACAGAACTTCCATGACCAACAGAAAATGCTGTGTTTTCTCATAGTCCTTGGTGACCCCGCTCAGACCCCCAGACTGAGAAATGCTGCTTTAGAGGAAGCAGAGGAGAGTAAAATAAGAAGCACAGCTGGAGGTAACCCTAAACCTTAATCCAAACCCTAGCTCTAATGCTAACCCTAATCTTAACCTACCCCTACATCTTTCTCTAAGCATAACTCTTAGACTCATAACTCTAAGACAACATTCCTTTTGCACAACACTGAGCATCAGAATCCATTGCTTATCATGATGCATCATCGTAATTCACTATCGCGGTTGCGAACTATGACTTAGTCCTGTCATTACAATGCCGTCCATCTATAGCCCATGTTCTTGCACCCTGCCTGCCAAAATCTTACCTTTTACTTTTTTTTGCCCTATTTTATGCTTGCACTGTCAGGAACAGGAGCCTGCCTCTGGCAAAAAACAGTTGGCACTCAATATTTATACATTTCTGCATTTTAAATCAACCCTAATCCTAATTCAAACCCTAACCCAAACTCCAATTCTAATTCTAACTCTAACTGTAAACCTAACTCAAAGACTAACCCTAATCTTGACCATAATTCTAACCATAGCCCAAACTCTAACTGTAAATCTAGCCCTTACGCTAACTGTAACTTAAACTGTAACCCTGCCCCTAACTCTAACCCTAACTATTATTCTAACTCTAGACCTAACTCAGACTGTAATCTTTTGCTTCTTAAAAACATGCAGTGCAGTGAAAGGTGCCTGGGGTCTCCTGGCCTGGAGAGAAGCCGAGTGCCAGGCCTTTCAGAAAAGGCAGTGTTGACCTCCTTGTGTTGCTTTGCCAACCCAAACCTATTCCCTTCTGCCTCCTCTGACTGAGATCTCGCTCCAGGTGCTCCATGGGGAAACAGGGGGCTTTCCCGCCCCCATCCCAACACTAGTGATCTTTCCCTTGAAAATGTGCTGCCTGTGTGAGCGTGCGCCTGTGTGTAGGAGCCGCTTTGTGCCGGAGCCATCTGCTCTGCTTTGGAGCTGTGCTTGTGCCTTCTCGAGGGCTAGGGCTTTGAGAAAAGATACCGTAACATTCCCAATTTAGCACCAGGGAGAGAGAGGAAAGAAAGGCATGAATGCATCCCCATGTGGTTTGCAAAACATGCTCAGCTGCCAACCCTGGGGAGAGGTACAGGGAGCCAAAAACTCCGCATTAAGGAACTCAGTGAATTTGGGTTTTGGTCTGAATTTGAGACAGAACTCCAAGGGGTTGAGTTCTGTCCCCGAAAAAAAGGGCTCAGTGTTCTGCATAGATTCTTTGAAATAATAAAAATTAAACATAGCCCTGCGGAAATGGGGGTCACCTCCTAACCCTAATTCTAATCCTAAATATCCAAACCCTAACTCTAACTTAACTCTGTTACCAAAACTTTAACTCTAACTCTGATTCTAATTCTAGCCCTAATTCTACCCCTACTTCTAACTCTAATACAGCTATAATTCTAATCTTTATCTATAATTCCAAGATCTCCCCAAATCCAAAATTATCCACATGGGTTTCTGAGATAGTCTCCCCTTTGCTTTCGCATGGTCCAACTTACATAAACGTTGTTCCCTGTGCAAAATTACTATGAAATGACCTTATACTGTGCTTATGTAAGGTAAAGATAAAGGTTTTCCCCTGACAGTAAGTCCAGTCATGTCCAACTCTAGGGATTAGTGCTCATCACCATTTTTAAGTTGAAGAGCCACTGTTGTCTGTAGAGCACTCCAAGGTCATGTGGCTGGCAAGACTTTATGGAGCAAAGTTACCTTCCTCCTGGAGCAATACTTATTGATCTACTCGCATTTGCAGGTTTTTGAACTGCTAGGTTGACAGAAGCTGGGTCTAACAGCAGGAGCTCATGCTGCTCCCCGGATTTGAACCTGCAACCTTTCGATCAGCATGTGTCCAACTGTGTCCAGTTCTGGGCACCAAAATTGAAGGGAGATGTTGATAAACTACGTGGGGCTGCCCTTGAAGACGGCCCGGAAGCTTCAGCTAGTCCAGCGCGTGGCAGCCATGTTACTAACAGGAGCGGGACGCAGGGAGCACACAACGCCCTTGTTCCAGCTCCACTGGCTGCCGATCTGCTACCGGGCCCAATTTAAGGTGCTGGTGTTATCCTACAAAGCCCTAAACGGTTCCGGCCCTATCGGACCGCATCTCGGCCTATGAGCCCACGAGGGCCTTAAGATCGTCTGGGGAGGCCCTTCTCTCGATCCCGCCTGCCTCACAGGCACGTCTGGCGGGGACGAGAGAAGGGCCTTCTCGGTGGTGGCCCCCCGGCTGTGGAACACCCTCCCTGTTGACATCAGACAGGCGCCCTCCCTTATGGCTTTCCGTAAGAGCCTAAAGACCTGGCTATTTGAAAAGGCATTTAATTGAGTGCTATACAAACTGGTAATGACAAGTGGAACGGAATACGGACTATGAGATTGGCTATGATTCTATGTGTGACGATGCGGATTAGCTTAGTGTAAATTAGTTTAGTGTGTATTAGTGAAATGCTGATTTTGTTGTGCTTCATTGTATACTGTTTTTATATGTTGTACACCGCCGCGAGTCGCCCTAGGGCTGAGAGCGGCAGTTAACAAATGCAATAAATAAATAAAATAAATAAATAAACTGGAATGTGTCCAGAGGAGTGCAATTAAAACAATCAAGGGTCTGGAGAACAAGCCCTATGAGGAACAGCTTCAAGAGCTGGGCATGTTTAGCTTGAAGAAGAGAAGGCGTAGAGGAGGCATGATAGCCATGTATAAGTATGTGAGAGGAAGTCACAGGGAGGAGGGAGCAAGCTTGTTTTCTGCTGCCCTGGAGACTAGGACAGGGAACAATGGCTTCAAACTGCAAGAAAGGAGATTCCATCTGAACATTAGGAAGAACTTCCTGACTGTGAAAGCTGTTCACCAGTGGAACTGCCTGCCCCAGAGTGTGGGGGAGGCTCCTTCTTTTGAGGCTTTTAAACAGAGGCTGGATGGCCATCTTTTGGGGGTGCTTTGAATGCGGTTTTCCTGCTTCTTGGCAGGGGATTGGACTGGATGGCCCATGAGGTCTCTTCCAACTCTATGATTCTATGTTCAGCAGGTCAGGGGTTTAACCCACTGTGCCACTGGGAGCTCTATTGCCTATGTAAACAACAATTAATGTTATGTTTAGACTTCTTGTGTCCCACATCCAAGATATCTCACTTACTGCAGGTTTGAAAAGCTCAGGAATCCTTAACATATCTGGCCCCAAGGATTTTGGGGAAGGGAAACCCCAGTAGTATAGGAAAGGAAGGTGTAACTTTCTAAGCTCTGTTACCAGCTCCTTGCCTTCCATTTGTGCTTCAGCCTCAAAGCCGGTGGCTGCAAGTCCTTCGCCTGCCCTCAGCCTCATCGATTCTGCAAACACAGCATTTCAGAGCCAAGGAGGCAGATCCTGAGCGTTTTGGGGGATGGATGGAAGGAGACAGCCAGGAGACGGAGGAAACTCAAGGGCCATCTTAAACATTTCACCCAAGCCCTCAGGGTAAAACAAAATACAGGTGGCCCTCCTCACCTGCAGGTTTTGCTTCAGAGCATTCACTGATTCCATATTTTCTCTCTAGGGCTTCATCTATATAATGTAGAATCAACACAGTTTGATACTGGTTTAACTGCCATGGTTTAATGCTTCGGCACCCTGAGAGATGTAATTTGGAGAGGCACCAGCCCTCTTTGACAGAGAAGGCAAAAGAATTTTCAAAGCTCCAAGATCTAATAGCATGACCCATTCATTCTACAGTCTAGATCAGGCATGGACAAACTTCGGCCTTCCATGTATTTTGGACTTCAACTGCCACAATTCCTGGCTTCAGACTCCTTCCTTTTCCCCCTCAGCCACTTAAGCGGCTGAAGGGGGAAAGGAAAGGGCCTCAGGGAGTTGAAGTCCAAAACATCTAGAGGGCCAAAGTTTGCCCATGCCTGGTCTAGCTGCACCCCTAGTCTCCACACCAATGGGACATGGATCCATTCTGGGTTCTAATTTGCACTTTAAAAGATGCTGAACCTACAAGAATAATCTCTCAATGAACGGGTTTGGTGTGATTTTTTCCCACAAGATCCATACTTTTCCAAGTTGTGGATTGATATAGACTGAGCCTTGATTTCTGGCCTAGTTTATCCTGTATATTTCTTATTTTTCTCCTGGTCTCAAGACTTCTTATTCAACTATGGGGTGACTAAGTCTCTTTGCATTTACTCCCTATAAGCATAGGGCAGTCTATACCCTTTTTCAGCCCTCAAACCTATTTCCAATGCAGGAGAACCATGTGCAATATTGTGTCAATGAATGTCCCCACCTGGAAGACCTAAACTGCAAATAACCTCCTTTCCCTGCTTTCTTTCATCAGGGCCTTTGGTGTTTATCAATATTAGGAGCTGACCTTCAGGCTGTTATCATCCCCTCGCCTTTCTGACAAAGGGTCATTCAGCCAGGGCTGCTGATCCAAATGTGTTTTTATTGGGTATACTGGTTTTCCTTTACGCTTGGGTCATGACTTCCCCTGAAAGTCCAGTTTGGGGGCCGGAGGGTTCTTTTCATGGGCTTCATCTCACCTGGAATGTCAAAAGGCGACCCATAAGGGGCAGGTTGAGGACCATCACATTGGAGCAGGGTCTTCTGCCCCAAGTCTTGGAGGTGAGGATGGGATGGACAGAGAATATAGGGAACCCTTCCTAAATGGGTCAAAAGGCCCTGTCCCGTTCCCAAAACTGGGTTCTGGAGGATTTAATGCATGCACACGATAACAGTGAGGACCCCCCCTCCCACCCCCAAAAAAACCCTCAAGATGCCAGACACCATTGTCGGAAGTGGGATTGTGGCCCAGTCTTCTCATAAGCTCTCCAGCATTTATGTGGATTGGGCATTTTGGAGAAGAGTGGGCCGCCGAAGACCCCAAAACGGGTGCCATGTTCATAGATGGGCTAACGTTGGTGTGTGTTCCTGGCCAGAGACCAAGAGGGACCGCGAAAGAGCCGAGTCAGAGGATGTTTTGGGTCCCAAAATGGAGCAAAACCCCCAAGGAAAGCCTCGAGGAGGCCTTGTAGGATTTCTCTTGGGGAAGAGAAAGGATCCGAAGGTTGCACGAGGAACACCATCACAGAAGGGGGCGGGGTGGGGGGCGTGGTCAGCGGCATCATGCAGTCTGAATGGCGACGTGGCTGGGGTCCCGCGTCTCCTTCAGACCGGCGTGGTCCGTCTGTTGGCTTGGCTGTTGTGCAAGGCATCCTTGAACTCCTTGGGCAGGGAGTTGTGGATCTGGAGGAAGGCGTGGTCCCGCTCCGAGTTGAGCAGCGTCCCCAGGGTCACCTTGGAGGGGTCCCGCGAGAGGGTGAACATGGAGATGTCGGTGGAAGGGATGGCGCCAAAGCCCTTGCCCAAAGGGGACAGGTCCCGAGAGCGGGGCTCCGTTGAGCGGGAGCTGGACCTCCGCCTGAAGCGGTAGCGGTAGGTGGGGAGCCGAGCAAAAGCCGACTTCTTCAGCAGGGCCACCGAGTGGGACTTGGCCCGCATCTGGCGGTGCCTCTCGATGTACATGTGCACCGCAATCACCCCCACCATCTCCGCGATGATGAAGGACAGGGCCCCAAAGTAGAAGGACCAGCCGTAGGAGTAGCTCTTCTTGGAGTCGCTCTGCCCGGGGTCCCCGGCGTTTGCTGAGATGTAAACAATGATGCCAATGATGTTGCTGAGGCCTGCAGGGAGGGAAGAGAAGGGGTCGGGATGGAGCCAGATCAGCTATAGGAACACACTGAGTGGCCTTTGGATGAGTCACACTCTCTCAGTCTCGGAAAAGGGCCATGACAAACTCTCTGCCAAGGAAACCATAGGAGAGGGTCATTTAAGGATGTAATGCTTAGCACTTTGGTCTAGGACCAGGGTTCTAATCCCTGCTTAACCATGGCATTCCAATGAGTAGCCATGGGTGAGTCACACTTTCTCAGCCACAGAGAAGAGCAATAGCAGAAACACTCCCAGCTGCAGATAAGCGGAATATTTAATTTTTTCTTAATCTTTTTATGTTTTAGGTTTTAATTTAAACACAGTATGATTTTTAGTATTTTTAGCCACCTTGAGTCTCTTCTAAGAGAGAAAAAGCGGGATAGTAGAAGTAGTGGCAACAGAAGCAGTAACAACAACAACAACAACAACAACAACAATAATAGTCGATGACAGATCCCAAGTGTAGACTCTGCAAGGAAGCAGATGAAACAATAGATCACATCTTCAGCTGCTGCAAGAAGATCGCGCAGAAAGACTACAAGCAGAGGCACAACACCATTGCTCAGATGATTCATTGGAACTTGTGCCACAAATACCATCTACCTGTGACAAAGAACTGGTGGGATCACAAGCCAGAAAAAGTTATAGAGAATGAACACGTCAAGCTACTCTGGGACTTCCGAATCCAGTCAAACAGAGTTTTGGAGCACAATACTCCTGACCTCACAATCATGTTAAAAAACAAAGTATGGCTTGTCGATGTTGCAGTCCCGGGTGACAGCAGGATTGAAGAGAAACAACTGGAAAATATGACACGATATGAGGATGTAAAGATCAAACTGCAAAGACTCTGGCACAAACCAGTAAAGGTGGTCCCAGTGGTGATTGTGCCACTGGGTGCAGTGCCTAAAGACCTTGACCTGCACTTAAGCACAATCAGTGCTGACAAGATTACCATCTGCCAGCTGCAAAAGGCCACCTTACTGGGATCTGCACGCATTATTCGGCGATACATCACACAGTCCTAGACACTTGGGAAGTGTCTGACGTGTGATCCAATACAACAGCCAGTGGAGGTATCTGCTGTGGACTCATCTTGTTGTGTTTCAAATAATAATAGAAATATAAATGATAATCCCAATGATATTGCTAAGAGCTGGAGGAAAAAGAAGGGGGTCAGAATGGAGTTGGCTCAGCCATAGGAACACACTGAAGGAGTCACACTTTCTCAGCCACAGGGAAAAGCAATAGAAGAAACATTCTCTCTGCTGCAGAGAAGACTTGTATTTAATTCTATCTGAATACTTTTATGTTTTAGATTTTAATTTAAACATTGTATGGTTTTAGTATTGTTAGCCACTTTGAGTCTCTTCTAAGGCCCCTTCCACACAGCTGTATAAAATCCACATTGAACTGGATTATCTGGCAGTTCAGACTAAGATATTCCAGTTCAAAGCAGATATTGTGGATTATCTGCCTTGATATTCTGGGTTATATGGTTGTGTGGAAGGGCCCTAAGAGAGAAAAAGTAGTATTCCATGATGATAATGATGATGATGATGATAATAATAATAATAATAATAATAATAATAATAATATCATCATAGAATTGGAAGAGACGACATAAGCCATCCAGTCCAGTAATAATAATGGGCAATAGCACACCCTCTGCCAAGAAACCCCTACTGGAGTAAGCAGGATGTTGTTGTAGCAGCAGGAGTAGTTGCAACTGTTGTATTTGCTATGCTGCTGTTTTATTGATGTGTTGGGCCTCGGCCTCTTGTAAGCCGCACCGAGTCCTTCGGGAGATGTTAGCGGGGTATAAATAAAGGTTTATTATTATTATTGTTGTTGTTGTTATTATTAAAATTATTATTATTTGTTACTAGCTTCTCATTATGGCTTGAAGCAGGATAATGAAAATATATAAGAAAACAAAGAGTCATAACAATACATAACAAAGGCCATAAAATCAATTTAAATCATAGGACAAAAATTAAAATTCCCCAAAATACCACAGAATGCTTCACAAATTTGTGATGTAGTGATTTAAGCATTGGACTAGGACAAAGGTTTGTATCCCCACTCAGCTGTGGCACTCCAATGGGTAACCTTGAGCAAACCACACTTTCTCAGCCTCCAAGAAATAACAACAACAACAACAACAACAACAATAATAATGGCACAGCTCTGTGGCCCAAATAATTCACTGGAACTTATGTCCAAAGTACCACCTGCCAGCAGTAGTGCAAAGGTAGTGGAAAATAAACTTACGAAAATACTGTGGGACTTTCCAATCCAGACTGACAAAGTTTTGGAACACAATACACCAGACATCACGATTGTGGAAAAGAAAAAAGTTTGGATTATTGATGTCGCCATACCGGGTGACAGTCGCATTGAGGAAAAATAACAGGAAAAACTCATCAAAATCAAACTGCAAAGGCTCTGGCATAAACCAGTACAGGTGGTCCCAGTGGTCATCGGCACGCTGGGTGCCGTGCCAAAAGATCTCAGTCAGCATTTGGAAACAATAAACATTGACAAAATCATGATCTGTCACCTGCAAAAGGCTACCTTAATTGGATCTGTGTGCATCATTCACTTGGGAAGTGTTCAACTTGTGATTTTGTGATATGAAATCCAGCATATAGATCTCGTTTGCTGTGACATACTGTGTTTTTGTGTCAGTAAAATAATACTTCATTTATATCCCGCCCCCTCTCCAAACAGGAGTCGGGGTGACTTTCAAAAAGTAAAACACAGTGCAAAACACAAAAATAAAACATGATATATAAACGACAATATCAAAATGTAACAGAAAATAAAACACAATACAAAAGCCAAGAGAAAAATAAAACATAATATATAACAACAATATCAAAAACCTAACAGACTAAAATAAATAATAGCACAATAGAAATTAGCACGCATTAAAACTGTTTGCTGGATTTAAACATGTTGCCCACCAGAGGCAAAACCAGTTCAGACCAGTTGGCATTAGTGCAGCTATAAACCACTACCACCCTCACAGTAGAATTATAAATCAACAATTTTCAGAAGCCTGCTTCCATGTCCATGTTTTTAATTATTCCTGAAAGAAAGCTATGGAGGGAGCCGGTCTAATCTCTTTAAGGAGGGCATTCCAGAGCTGGGGGGCCACCACCGAGAAGACCCTTTCCCTTGTTTCCACCAACAGTGCTTGTGAGGGTGGTGGGGCCATGAGAAGGGCTTCCCTGGAGGACCTTAAAGCCTGAGTGGGTTTATAGGGGGAGATGAGGTTGCACAAATAGGTTGGACCCGAACCATAAAGGGCTTTATAAGTAATGACCTGCACTTTGAACTGGGCCCAGAAACTCACAGGCAGCCAGTGGAGCTGCTTTAACAGGGGAGTGGTATGCTCCCCATAGTCAGCTCCTGTTAGAAACTTGGCTGCTGCACTCTGCACTAATTGCAGTTTCCAAACCATCTTCAAAGACAGCCCCACATAGTGTGCATTGCAGTAATCCATCCAAGATGTAACTAAGGCATGGACCACCGTGGCCAGATCAGACTTTTTGAGGTGCGGGTGCAGTTGGCACACAAGTTTTAACTGTGCAAAGGCCCTGCTGTCCTTCGCCGACACAGGAACTTCAAGAATCAGCGCTGAGTCCAGGAGGACCCTCAGACTGTGGACCTGTCTTCTCAGGCGGGGTGCAACCCCATCAAGCACAGGTTGCCACTCTATACCCTGATCGGCCCCACAACTGACCAAGAGGACCTCTGTATTGTCAGGATTAAGTTTCAATCTGTTAGCCCTCATCCAGCCCATTACAGCTGCCAGGCATTGATTCAGGACCTGAGCAGCTCCCTTGGCATTTGGCAGAAAGGAGTAGGAGAGATTGTGTGTTATCTGCATACAGTTGACACCGAACTCCAAAACTGAATGACCTTGGTTAGCAGTTTCATACAGATGTTGAATAGCATGGGGGATAGAATCGAGCCTTGCAGAACCCCACAAGCTAAAGGCCAGGGGTCTCAACAGTCATCCCCCAGCACCACCTTCTGGGTCCGGCCCTCCAGGAATGAGCAGAGCCACTGCAAAGCAATGGCCCCAAGTCCCATCCCAGCAAGTTGACCCAGAAGCATACCATGGTGAATGGTATCAAAAGCCACTGAGATGTCCAGGAGAACCAACAGAGATACACTCCCCCTGTCTAGTTGTCTGCGGAGGTTATCCACCAAGACAATGGCAAGCCTTCTCTGAGTAAATCTTTCATAGAAAACCCTAGGATTCAGAAGGACATAGTGGTTTGATCATTGGAACATTGCCATTATGCTCGAAAAACTCACAGCAACCCTATATTAATTCTGCACCTTGGAAGACTCACCTGCGGAGACAAAGAAGATCCCGGCACTGAGGATGACATTGAGTTTGCTCTTGTAGAACTCACTGGCAGCTACACAGAGACCTCCGAAGAAGAGGAGACCAACGCTTAAGATGGGGAAGATGCTAGATGCTCTCACTGCACCTGGACGGAAAGGCAAGGAGCCCCCGTTAAGTGGGATTGGAAGGCATCTGCACCACAGAGCTACAGCAGCTTCATCCCACATTAAACAGATCCTAAAATATATGGTTTGAGAGGGGACTTCCTTCCTAAAGTGGGCACCATGAAGCCCTGCAGATGGGGCTGGACTGCGATTCCCTGGGTCCCATTATCCACTAGCAATGCAAGCTGGGGCTGATGGGAGTTGCAGCTTAATAGCAAACAAAGAGTGGCATGGCTACTATAAAGAACAGAATGGCCTCTATGGGACTATAGCCTCCAAGGTACATTGAGAAAAGGTGTTCTATATTAAGCACCAGGAGTTACAGTCCAAAAGGGCCTTCTTTTTTGGACTGTAACTCTCAAAATCCACCATTCAGTGATTTGGGGAAATCATCGTCCCAAAAGGTCCCTTTCCCCATCTCTGGTCTATAGTCCTTGGGGAAAAGAAACTAAACTGCCTATCAAATAATAATACTAACAACAGCAATGACGACAACAACAACAGTCAAATACATCTATAAAAGCGCATACTAAAACATAGATAAAATACCTGGCAATCTCATTAATTTTGCTTGATTGTCTTAGTCAAGGAAGAAGTGTTTGTTAGTCTCCCATCTTCCAAGATCAGATGGAATCTGGTGACTTGAGGGTATTTAGGTCAATTTATCTCAAATTCTGGGAGATTGTGGTTTCATGAAATCACTAATTTACTCATATGTTGTCTCCTAATTATGAGGCAGGTAAGTGCATCTGCACTGTGGCATGAATGCAGTTTTAATCCACTGCAACTGTGATGCTCAAGGACTTTAGCGTTCTCTGCCAAAGAGTGTTGGTGCCCCATTAAACTAAAATGCCAGGATCCCATAGCATTGAGCCATGGCAGTCAAAGTGGTACCAAAACTACTGTGTAGATATAGCTGGAGGCACCAACAGAGAGGAGAGATAAACTCACGCAGGAGGTATTCAGCTGCATCCTGCTCATAATCAGCATCTTCTGGGAAGTGATTGATTTGCTTGCAGATGCCCCGAAACGTTCCTGGAGAACAAAAAAAAAAAAAAAGGAGACAGAACCAAAATGTAAGATGTTCACATTGACAAGTTGCCCAACCAGGTGTCACCCATCCTATACTTATGCTGTTCTTTCATTTCCACAATTTCATGTAATGTGTTGTCGAAAGCTTTCATGGCCGGAATCACTGGGTTGCTGTGAGTTTTTTGGGCTGCATGGCCATGTTCCTGTAGCATTTTCTCCTGATGTTTTGCCTGCATTTGCAGCTGGCATCTTCAGTGGTTCTGTTGGCAGTGAAACAAGTGGAGTGTATATATATCTGCGGAATGTCCACGATGGGAGAAAGAACCCTTTTCTGGAGTGCTTTGAATGTAATTTTCCTGCTTCTTGTCAGGGGGTTGGATTGGATGGCCTATGAGGTCTCTTCCAACTCTATGATTCTTTGATTCTGAAGCAAGTGTGAATGTTGCAAGTAGCAAGCATGAATAGCATTCAGTAGTCATGAAGCTGCAAAGTCAATCAGTGAGGCTATCTGCAGGTGTGGACAAGTCTACATAGGGACCACCAAACAAAGCAAGCAAATAACATGAGGAAGAACTTCCTAACTGTGAGAGCTGTTCAGCAGTGGAACTCTCTGCCCCAGAGTGTGGTAGAGGCTCCCTCTTTGGGGGCTTTTAAACAGAGGCTGGATGGTCATCTGTTGGGGTGCTTTGAATGCGATTTTCCTGCTTCTTGGTAGGGGGTTGGACGTGATGGCGCATGAGGTCTCTTCCAACTCTATGACTCTACGATTTTATGACATGCACATGCAACTAATTCAACCAGAAAAGTCAGCTATAGTAGAGCACTTGAGCCAAGCTGAATATTATTGCGAACACAGACATTCCAGACGACTCTTACAGCTATCATGTCAGACTACACTGAAATCCACAAGCACGTGGACAATTTCAACAGAAAGGAGGAAACCATAAAAATGAACAAAATCTGATTACTAGTATTGAAAAACACCAGAATCAAGACAGTAAATAATGAACAACACTCAGAAACAGGAGAACTCCAGACAGCAAACAATTAAGTGTCAGTTAAAACCTCTCAAACAGAGGATGCCTCCAGGCTACAAAGGCCAGGTTACCTCTATGCAGATACCCTCACTAATTGATTTTGCAAACTTAATGGCTACTCAGTGCTATTCAATCTTTGCATGTTAATTGCAACATTCACAATAGCTTTATACAGACAAGGGTTCTTTCTCCACCCCTGGACATTCCACAGATACACACACACATTCCACTTGCCTCACTTCCAACAGACCTCTGAAGATGGCATTAGCCAGAAATGCAGGTGAAACATCAGGAGAGAATGCTACTGGAACATGGCCATACAACCCGAAAAACTCACAGCAACCCAGCTTCATGTAATGCCTTGCATTTGGAAACACGTTTTATTAGTTGCCTGGGGTGGCATCGAGGCAGATGGAATGGCACTGACTTGTCCTTAATGTCAACTCCAGGGATCCAATGGGTCCCAATGGGGACAATCCATTACCCCCCATCCCCAAAATGCCTTAAATGATTCCTGGGCCGGTGTCCAAATCCAGACACTTAATGGTGGCTTTCAGTGAGAAATGCAGATGACCAGATTGTGGTGGAAAGAATGCAAGATGATCAAAGGAGATGCCTCCCTCTGCATGGCTTGATCTGCTTTTTATGGTTTTCATGGCAATGTGAACTAACTCTCTCTCTCTCTCTCTCTCTCTCATATTCTGGGAAGCAGATCTCTTTTTATCTGACTTCTCCTGCCTCTCGCCTTTTGCATCCAGCTCAGTTCCCTTGAATTCACATTGCTGACTTGTTTCCATCCATACACTCCTTGCTTTAACCCTTTCTCAAACCTGGTACCCAAGGAAGCAAAATTACATGAAACCAAGGGTGCATCCACAACATGGAATAGATGCAGTTTGGCACCACTTGAACTGCCACGGAGGGCGAGAGATGGAGCGTCAAGCCATCAACGGATCCCACTCCATCTCAATGGAGGCATCTCCTGGAAATGATTCATATGCGGAGGCAGCAGGGTTGGGTTTTTTTTAATAGGTGTGCGGCTTTTTCATCCTTACTATACATCCTATACATGTTTTAAAAGTTTTGATAGAATTGCATAATATTTAATGGTGTCACAACACTTTCGCGGGATATTATTTTTTTTATGCAGTATACACCGGAAGCCACTGCTTTCCCGCTAAATGCTGACTTTGAGTAATTGCAGACACACTGAGCAATGCGCTTGCTGCTTCTTTTTTGGCCCCTTCTGCAAAATGGGAACATTGCGAAGGAAATCAAGGCATCGACATAGCATTATGAGCATACAATAATTTTGAAAGGATTTGTGCAACCTTTATCCATTAGGAACTCTGCTCATGCACTGGGGAACTGGAGGAGAGCAGAATTGCATACCCAATTTTATGCAAGAGGAAGCAGTCAGGTTTTAGTTGTACTTCCATAGAATCCCAGAATCCACGTGTTTGAAGACCATCCAGCCTTACTCAATTCTGCTAAACTGGAAGACACCATGCAAGCACTCCCGACAGATGGTCATTCAGCCTTTGATTAAAAGTCTCCAGAAAAGGAGATTTCACCAGACTCTCAAGCAGAAGGATATTATACAGCAGAAACATAAAATCATACAATGTTATTGCTGGAAGGGACCGCCAAAGGCCATCCAGCCCGACCCCTTTCTGCCAAAATAGAAGACAAATCCAAGCCTTCCAGGCAGATGGCCATCTAGCTTCTGCTTAAAAACCTCCAGAGATGGGCACCCCAAAGCATATTTGTATATAACATGCCTCGGGTCTCATGTTGAGAAAAGGTGGAATAATAAACAATCAAATGAATTAATGAATAAATAGATAAATTTTCCAGGCAGGTGGCACTTGGGTAACTGGCCTCTTTGCCCTTGCCTTTGCTTTCCATCTAGTTCTAGTCATGCATTAGCTATGCCTTCTTTCCATTGAGATATTAGACTCCTAATGATTACGCTTAGGTTCCCACTGGCTTTTTTGGCTGCTGCATCACACTGTTGGCTCATGTTTAACTTCTTCCCCGTTAAGCAGGGATGTACACACTTTTTGCAAAGAGGGCCAGATTTGGTGAGGCGAAAACATGTGGGGGCCGATCATTCAGCCTGACATTCTTCGAACTATTAACATTAAATGCAAACGAACTATTTTATGACATTTTGCAAACGGCATACTTTTTATTTCTTCACACAGAACGCAAATAAATCTAAACAAGATTTTGTAACAAGCACTCTGCCTTTTATTTTTGAAGCCCACAGAAATGAAGAAAACGTCTGTCTGGAAGATTAAACGTATCTAGGTTCATTTGAAACATGACATATTACTCACTATTAAATGCTCAGCTTAACTTCTAAATCCAAAACATGTGAACGGGAAAATAACACTAACAGTTATCTTATTCCAAAGTATGAAACACTGAGGGTCATATGAATCCCTGCATCACTCGTTCTTTCTGCTGTCAAAGGCTTTCATGGCCGGAATCATTGGATTGTTGTGAGTTTTCCAGGCTGTATGGCCATGTTCCAGAAGCATTCTCTCCCGACGTTTCGCCCACATCTATGGCAGGCATCCTCAGAGGTTGTGAGGTCTGTTGGAAACTAGGCAAGTGAGGAATAATGTGGAATAATGTCCAGGGTGGGAGAAAAAACTCTTGTCTGTTGGAGGCAAGTGTGAATGTTTCGATTGACCACCTTGATTAGCATTGAATAGCCTTGCAGCCTCAAAGCCTGGCTGCTTCCTGCCTGGGGTAGGTGGCCAATTGCAACATTCACATTTGCCTTAAGTAGACAAGAGTTCTTTCTCCCACCCTGGACATTCCACAGATATATAAACCTCACTTGCCTAGTTTCCGACACACCTCACAACCTCTGAGGATGCCTGTCATAGATGTGGGTGAAATGTCAGGAGAGAATGCTTCTGGAACATGGCTATACAGCCCAGAAAACTCACAGCAACCTGTTCTTTTGATTTTCAATTATAATACAAAGTATTATTTGATATCAGAAAATGAAAAAGGCTACGTTTTTCCTTATTTCAATTTTAGATTTGGATCAAAAACACAAAATGGGAAAAAGAGTTGCTGGACCAAATTTGATTTTAATATGTAATTTGTCGAGTTTACGAGACCTGGTTTGATTGTCACTTGAAAAACGAAAGAACAAACGATACACGGATTGAAAAAAATGCATGTTCAAAACTATGTTTTTTATCATCTTCTGATAAAGTGCTGGTGGGCCACATATTATTGATTATGTGACAGAGGCTACGGGTAGAAATTTGAACATGGCCTGTGGGCCGGACCTTGGACATGCGTGCCGTAAAGCTTTGGTTTTCCAAACCTTGGACCATTGTGGTCACCTTTCCAGTTCGTTAATGTTCTTCTGGAGTGCAAACCACATCTGAAGTCTGGATGCATAACCCAACATCCTCATCAAAATAACCTCCATCCATTTGTTCATAATGGGATAAAATAAGCATTACAATAGGGATGCACCCAAGTGGAAGATGCAAATGCAAACCTATTTCTCTGGATGGGGCTTGCCCTGAAACACTCCTGCAACTGTGGCCTTTTGAACGCTCCTGAAACTGAGCTCATTTGGAATACCAATGATGTACTCCTCCCTTTTGGGACTTCTCTTCTTTGATGCCAAGATCCATGATTTGCCCTGACAGGGTGCTGGGGTCACTGGGCCCAAGGAAGGTGCACGGCTTCCTCCTTTTTCAGTTGCCCCCAGGGTCCTCTATGAGCCAAGATGGCTGCCAGCTGTCAGGAGACGGCATCTGCGAGAGGGAAGGGTTGTCAAACCGGGGAGAGATCATTGGGATAATGAATGGCCAATCCAAGTTGCTTTGGTGCAGGCAGAGAGAGCAGAAGCCACAGAAGGATAGACAATTAAAGCACTCCCAGAAGATGCCCATCCAACCTCTTTAGAAGATCCCCCACAAGAAGAGC